ACGGGCCGTTCTCAGGGAGGGGAGCCCGAGGCCTCAGCTCTGCTGGGGACGTGCAGCAGCCGCGGGGCCAGGGAAGGGGCGGGGGGGGGGCGCTTGGGCTGGGTGTTCGGGCTGTTAACTTGCCCCTGGCCAGGGGCTGACTTCATGAAATGCAGCATTAAATTATTCTTCCTTATGTGGTGCCCTGAGACACGGGAAGGGGGAAGCCAGGCTGGCCCTGGCGAGCAACCCAGCGCTCGGGCCGTGTTCAGATGACGCTCAGCGGTAGATGGAAATATAAATATTTAATCCAAGCAGAGCCGGGAATGCAGAGCCCACCGGGGGCTGCTACATGATGATGCGCGGCTCTGGCACAGACTCGGCGATGGACTTGTGTGGCAGCACGTTGGCCCCGTTGAGGTAGAGCTCGTCGTTGACGATGACATCCTCGCCCAGCACTGTCACGTTCTCCATGCGCCCCTGCCCCAGAGAGGCTCCGTCACTGATGCCTGCCCCGGCTCGGGGCTCGGTGCCATGCTCCTGCCCGCAGGCACATCCCTCCATCCCTTCGGCTGCAGCCCGAGGAGGCGCGAGGGCAAGAGCTGAGCCCCCACCCCCCCATGGGAGGCACCCACATCCTCACCCACTGCCCCACGGAGCAGCTCCAGCCCACGATGCAGGACTCCAGCCAGGAGTGGGAACGAATGCGGGCTCCCTTCAGCACGGTGCAGCGTTTGATGCGCACCCCGTCCTCCACCACCACGCCGGCCCCGATCGTCACGTTGGGGCCGATGACGCAGTTCGACCCGATCTTGGCGCTGGGGTCCTGGAAGGAAGAGGGGCTGCGCCGGGGCCGGGAGGGCAGCCAGAGCTCTGGGCACAGCCCGCACCACTTGGCTAGCGTGGGGACAGGAGGGCACAGCTCGAGGACAGCAGCGAGGACAGCGGTGGGAGGACGGGGACAGCCCATGACATGTGCCCGGGGCCGGTGTGCTGGGGGCTGGCACTTACCACCAGCACGTTCCCTACGACACCAGGCCCCGAGTGCAGCTTCTCGGGGTGCTGCGCCCGCAGCGCCTGCAGGTACATGCACATGCCTGTGAGGAAGTCCTTTGGCTGCCCGATGTCCATCCAGAAGCCTGTGGGGACAGAGCCGCGGTGACAGCCCCCAGCACGGGGGCGGCAGGGCAGCCAAGAGCCCCCCATGCTGCCGGCACCGTGCGCAGGGCCTTACCCTGGAGCTCCATGGCGTAGAGCTGCCCCTCCTGCGCCATGGCCGGGAAGATCTCCTTCTCGATGGAGGTGGGGCGCAGCTGCGGGGACGAGGCGCAGGGCTGAGCGGGGCACCCGGTCCCCCCAGCCTGGCCCAGCCCAGCACCCCGCTCCCTACCTGGATGCGTTGCAGGATGCCGGGGCTGAAGATGTAGAGCCCGGCATTGATCTTGTTGGACACGAAGACGCGCGGCTTCTCCACAAAGCGGCAGATGCGGCCGGTGTCGGCCTCGCATACCACCACGCCATACTTGGCCGGCTCCTCCACACGGGTGACCACCAGCGAGCCCTCACCGCCATGCTGCCGGTGGAAATGGGCCAGCGCCGCGAAGGGGAACTCGCAGATCACGTCGCTGTTGAGGACAAAGAAGGGCTCCCCGCCCTCGGCCAGCAGGTCCCGCGCCAGTGCCAGCGGCCCCGCTACCCAGCCGTGAGTGATGCCACAGGGACGGGGTGAGCCCAGTGCCCGGGTGCTCCTGGTCCCAACTGTGCCCATCCCAGTGTCCCTGCTCCCCATCGGCCCTTCCAAACCCCCCATTCCACCTGATCCTCACCCAGGCCTGCTGTCCCAGGTCCTTCCTGGGCCTGTCCTGATTGTCCCCGGTTCCTCATCCTGCCCATGCCCATCCTGGCACCCGCACCCCTCCTGCTGCCCGTGGTGTCCCCCTCCCAGTATCCCCAGTGTCCCCAGCCCTACCCATCCATTCCACCCTGCTGCCCGTGCTGTCCCCTTCCCAGTGTCCCCACCCTACCCATCATCCATCCCACCCTGCTGCCCATGCTGTTCGTTTCCCAGTGTCCCCAGCCCTACCCATCCATCCCACCCTGCTGCCCATGCTGTTCGTTTCCCAGTGTTCCCGGTGTCTCCAGCCCTACCCATCCATCCCCCCCTACCGCCCATGCTGTCCCCTCCCAGTATCCCCAGTGTCGCCCAGCCCTACCCATCCATCCCCCCCCG